TGAGAGGGGTATTCATGTTAAACTGCGGCATGGTATCTCAGTGAGCTAGCACTATAAAATCGGCATTAGTCCGGACTAGTACAAACAGACACACACACGTGTTTGTACGCCGATATATAAGTGCAATAATCTTGGACACGACGTTAGACCCCATTTCACCTCACCTCACCTCACCTCACCTCACCTCACCTCACCTCATACCAACAAGCGATACATTTGGAATATATTGCCTTTTGTGGCATGTGTGGTGTGATATAGATTCTTTTCTCATCAGTGTTTAGTTATTCTTTAGTTTAAAGTTTACTTTTTTGAGAATTAATTACAATTGGATTACACAATTCAGTTTAATGTAAAACATCAACAACCAAAGTTGTCTTCGTTGACAGAAAATAATCGATGTGGTTGCCAACAAGAGTAGCAATAGGCATGATTAATTAAAAGCAGGCCCTGCTGTGATATCTCTATGCATCATCTTCAAGGACAGGGTAGGTATGCTATATGGAGTGGTGACCTGACTATGTGTTATAAACCAAGAAAATGTGTATTAATTGCTCACGTCAAAAGCTCAGTTAAAATTATGACCTTTCTGCACTGTAACCTCGATGTGTGACGTCACATAAGCACAACACGATAGACATAGAGTGAAATACATATATGGTGAAGTTTTAATCTATTTGCTTAACAGATTGGATACTAACGTATAGAAACGGTGTTGTTTATTTATAGATGAATGTTGTGTGTTTCAAATGTTATACTTCAGTGCAGCCAGTGACGTAGCACACAAAGCTAGTGCTTACGGTGTCCTCCCATTAGTTAGACGTCCCAATAGTTAGACAGCTTATAACAACACTTTAAACGGTTGAGTGCACACTAATCCTTACGCTTGTTACCTCAAACTTTAAAATGGAATAGTCCAGATAAGATCTGACAAACAAAGCAAAGCTACTTTAATATTACACTTAACATTTAATGACACTTTACATGTGATACATTTTATACAGTTTGTTACAACACTTTGTGTGACAGTTTTTGGTAATGTACACTTTACATTTAATAACTGTTACAGTTTATTTATCACCGACAGTCGTAAATTTCTCATTGCACGTCTTGACGACACATCTCCAATGTGTGCAGGTTTGCCTCTCGCGGTTTCTGTTGTAAATATATCCATCTAATATCAACTGCTTACTTCCACGCCGAGAGGTGATGTACTCTACTTTCCTTAAACCAGCCATATCGATACTGATAATGATACGTACCCCAAGATCATATTTATTTGTTTCATGAGTAGATAATCTAAACTCAAGTCCTTCAACTGATCATACAGTAAGACAATTAAGCTACTCCATAGTTTACATAGTTAATCTCATGCCTATTGAACCTGTGCTGAGAGTAAGGTAATTTAGGTTAATTAAACGAGATTGTAACATATATACTCCCTAAACTGTGAGTCCCCTATCCCTACTCAGTACTTTAATCTAATTAGGACTGATCCATTACACCTGTAGGTATATTCCCTCTTTGCCTAAATAAAAATGTCTAACAATTGGGACGTCTAACTAATGGGACGTCTAACTAATGGGACACTTTGAAATCGTTACAAACATAAAATAAAATAAATAATTTAAAATAGTACTTTGTGTGTTCTTCTTTCAGTCGTTTGTTATAGTTATAGTCTGGAAGTTAATTTAAGGTACCGACGTTTACTACAATATCTGAAAAACTATTGGACCTACTCGAGTCAAAGTTGGTATGAGATTATTAAACAGTCATACATAACTGGATATTACATTTAAAGACAATCGGTGCATGAGTGAAAAATCTGTCTATTTAGCTATCATTATATTTCATCAAAAACTAGACCTGTTCGTCACGGGTGGAACGAGCATTCATTGTAACAGCCATCTGCATAATGCTACCCCGGCGTCACAGGGCCATACGACACAGTTGAACCAATCAACTCAACTCGAAAGGTTGCACGGGAATCACGCACGCACGTGGTAAGATATTTCGTGATATCTATGTTTGTGTTTGTGTTTGATAGGCGTTATGAGTGTACAGTAAACTGAGGACTTGGCAGTGTTTCGGAATGCGCTTAGACAGAGACCCACTTCCGTTTTTAATTAAGACAGTTAGATTAATCCATTTCATTCTAGGAGTATCCACTTATACATAGTTAAAAACTCAACAGAGGCCAGTGAACGTCCTCAACGTGATAACTTGTGCATCACATGATAGGCATCACAAAATATCTGAGTACATTTTACATGCGCTTCATTCACCTGCATCCCAACAAAAAGCATTTCCGCAGAGATGCCCTGTGAGAAAGCTGGTTGGTTGGTTGGTTGGTTGGTTGTTTCACGCCGCACTCAGCAATGTTCCAGCTATATGACGGCGGTTTGTAAATAATCGAGTCTGGACCAGACAATCCAGTGAATGATATCATAAGCATCGATCCACGCAATTGGGATTGATGACATGCATCAACCAAGTCAGCGAGCCTGACCACCCGATCCCGTTAGTCGCCTTTTACGACAAGCATAGTCGCCTTTTACGGCAAGCATGGCTTGCTGAAGACCTTCTTGTTTTGACAGTCAACTGCTTGTCAAAGGAGGTGACTAACGGGACCGGGTGGTCAGGTTCGCTGACTTGCTTGATGCATGTCATCGTATCCAAAAATGCGTGGATCGATGCTCATGATGTCAATCACGGGGTTGTCAAGTCCAAATTCGATTATTTACAGACCGCCGTCATATAGCTTGAATATTGATGAGTGCGGCGTTAAACAACAAACAAACAAACAAACAACACACACCCTCCACATATTTATGCTTAGCGCTTCATTCACGCTAAAAGACCCGGAGTTACCTCCCTTGTGCCTTCTATCGATGCATATGGTTATTTCCTCGTTATGCGGAGTGCGTTGTTGGTGACAACGCTGTGATTGTATATGAGGAAGTGTGACACGGCTGGACGATTGCAGCGACAAACAAACAACAAAACAACTCCCGGACATCCTGGTGTGTTGGGCCAAAAAGTGTCCGTGTTGTCTACATTGTGCCCAGGGGGAAATACATGATAATTGTGAAATAATATTTCATTAAATCTGACAAAAATGATCAATCACAATTGTATTTTGTATATTTATCAATAATATCACTTTATACTCTGTCGGGATAGCAAAATAGAGCCCTAGTAATGTTGTTCACAATATGAATCACTGGATTGTCTGGCCATATCTGCTAGTTTGTAGTCATGTAGCTTGACTGGGTGAGTATGGTTTTACGCCGCCTTTACAATATCACGGCGGGGGACACCAGAAATGGGCTTCACACATTGTACCCATGTCGAAAATAGAACCCGGGTCTTCCGCGTGACGAGCGAACGCTTTAACTACTAGGCTACCCGACCGACCGCCATGTAGCTTGAGTGAGTGAGTATGGTTTTACGCCGCTTTTTAGCAATATTCCAGCAATATCACGGCGGGGGACACCAGAAATGGGCTTCACACATTGTACCGATGTCGGGCATCGAACCCGGGTCTTCCGCGTGACTAGCGAACGCTTTAACCACTAGGCTACCCAACCCCATGTAGCTTGAACTGTGCGGAGTACGAACTCAAACTCACAAACAAACAAACACATATAACCATTGTATTTTGTAACATTTATATGGCTATGGTAATATTCACTTTTATCTATAAACATGGTGATGTTTAGCTGCATCTTCATCCACGAATCACGATAAGCACGTGCATCGCCTTGATAACTTTTATTTTGCTGCTGTCGGGTTCTTGATCAACTGCCAACGCCCGTACACGTGTATCCAAGGTCATTCGTTCAGCACGACTCATAATTGACCTTTTCCAAACTGCAACATGAATTGTTTGTGTGAAATGAATATTGAATGCTGCTGAACGCCGCTGTCATCAACAGTCCACACCATCACGGCGGCAGGAGTATCAAGGCTGAATCACACAAACCAGCAACGTCCAACGCTGCATGGGCAACATGAGACGACATCTACCACGTCAGTGAGCCTGACAAACTGATCCATTATTGTCGCCACTTTTGTAACCAAATGCAGAGGTTGCAGGGGACCCACTCCACCCAGGAGAGTAATACTATAACAAAGGTCACGGTTGGCCTCCCCCTGATGCCAGAAACGACAGCTGGTCAACGGGTCATGCACACTGTCCGACATGGCTTACCTCGTAGCAGTGCCTCTCCATGGCTCTCAATGGCTTGTCATCTTCCCGAATCAAGGGAGTTACTATAAAAGTCAAGTTTCCACCCTTGCCGAACTAGGCTGGAATTCCGGATTACATTTTGGCTCGACTAACGAGTCTATGCATAGTCCAATCAAAAACGCGTAACAAACTTGACATCCCGTTCGGACAACATGTATTTCAACGTGCAAGATTTCGGTCGACTGAAGCATGTGTACCACCAACTGGGCGTCGACAGATATTTTGCAAATCTTTTCATGTTTTTAATCAAGGTGCTCAAGTGATTTGAGGCACTTCGCGGGGTAAGACCCGTTATATTACAATATTGATCTTGATTACCGATCAGATCGTCTTAACTGGGCGCCGCCATTTTGTTGAAAGTAAATTCAAGTGATATGAGAGGTGGAATCTGATTGGTCAGTGGGAGGGATATAGAAGGGATATAACTAGTAATGGCCACTGGTGGCGCTACGGTCGAGCCTGGAAATGGTCGAGGGTTGATAATGGACTTACATAGTCAGTTAACTCCCTTGCCCCGGAAAGATGAGTGAGTGAGGGAGTTTGATGTGACCAGAAATGGGTTTCACACATTGTACCAATGTCGGGAATCGAACCCGGGTCTTCGGCGTGACGAGCGAACGCTTTAACCACCAGGCTACCCGACCGCCCCTCGCGGGAAGATGATGTCTTGCATCCGCTAAACCCTTGTACTGGTCAAGCGTGGACACAAAGCGACCAAACAGATGACAAAACATTCATAAAGGACAACCAGTTAATCAACAAGCTTCAATTTATTTCAAGGAAAGAGTATAACAATGTATATGTTTCAACAACCCGTAGTGATGTAGTGAGACGCTCGTGTCTATCACCGTATTTACATACATACATACACATGAAAGACAATGATATTCGGCAACCCGTGCTCGACAAAGACAAGTCTGGTCAATCAGTCAAGGTCACACCAAGCGGAGAAAGTACAAATCATATCAATGGCAAAGCAGTTTCAGCGATATGCGCCTGAAATATCTGGAATTTGATTGAATCGACTATCAATTAATTTAGACATTTTCACTTTTCACTTTTTTTTTATTATAATCCCCCTCGAGGTCCATACGGTGTCAAATCTGGTGAGTACGAAAACCGAAACCATCACCTAAAGATGATGGCGCAGACTTTTCCTCCTTCTTCGGAGACGTTAGATGTTTCCCCTGCTTTCAGTGTTGTTTAGTCTCTGGCTGAAAGTGATGAACCCAAAACTTATCCATGGTTACAACTCGTTAAAAGAAATTAGCTGTGTCTGTTTCAAACCGATGTCAATTCTCACGAGAGATGATGGAACTGGAGTGTATTTGGTCAGGAGTCAGCAGAACCTCTCGCCAGCACGCTGAAACCTTTGCCATGTCCCGTTCTTTACTCAGAATGTCTCAATTCTCTCATGACTCGTCTTTTGTTTTTTAGCCTTTTTGACTATGACGAGTCATCAATCATTCATAACAATATCATATATTTTATCAACACTTCCGCTGCCCACCCCTTAAGGTCTGGTGTGTTGGTTTGTTTGTTTGTTGTTTAACGCCGCACTCAGCAGTATTCCAGCTATATGACGGCGGTCTGTAAATAATCGAGTCTGGACCAGACAATCCAGTGATTGATATCATGAGCATCGATCCACGCAATTGGGACCGATGGCATGCATCAGCCAAGTCAGCGAGCCTGACCACCCGATCCCGTTAGTCGCCTTTTACGACAAGCATAGTCGTCTTTTACGGCAAGCATGGGTTGCTGAAGACATATTCCACCCCGGAATCTTCACGGGTCCCACCCCTTAAGAATGGCAAAGGAAAGATCATCATCCCCTTAAGAAGACACCATGTCCCCATGGATTATTGGTTCAGTTGGAGATGCGGGATGGCAACGCGGTAACCAATTTTGTCCATTTTCATCAACAGAAAATATGTAGTCACTTTGATGCCTGCAGAACAATGCTGCGTGGTTGTATATTTGGTTCAAATGCAGCCTGTTAGCGTCGAAAATATCCGTTGTACTCAAAACATGCAATCCGTTAAAGGTATACTATACATCCTTCATAATTGGGGTCAAAACGTTTCAGCTACCATCGCATATACAAGTTCGGTTGCCTCCATAAACCACAAATATTTCCTGCTTACGTTAATCTCTTTTGCAAAATGTGCTTATAAGTATATGTTGAAATATCCTAACCTAACCCCCAAAACAGAAATATTTCTTCCCCAGGGGGAATAATGAGGAATTAAATATATATACAATATATACCATATTATAAAGACTATGTGTAACAATATATTACATAAAACAACAATATATCACACTGTGTAACACTGTGAAACTTTGGTCCATTTGGTTGGGGATATGTGACGTATGAGTAATATGTATGTCCTTTGTACATGACTTGTACGCTTGAATACATTTCACTTCCCTTCCTGATTCCAGTGTGGTATGGTGACAGCGGTAATGAACAAATCCCCATGGCGATAATATGCTTGAGACATCACACATTTTTTTGGCATCCTATCATCTATCATGAGATCATATGCTCGACTAAAAATAACATCTTTTACTACAGGATCAGAGGATCTATCACAGGATTTTTCACAGGATCATAGGATCTGTCACAGGATCACAGGCTCTTAAATAGGAATATCTAAGTAACGATCGCCATCTCTACTGCTGGTACTACTACATCTGACACTACGTCTACAACTACTACTAGTAGTATGACAGAAGCAAATATGCACAACGCCAACATATATAAATAACAAACAGCAATCTGTCAAATGATATAAAAGAGTATTTGTGTATCAGGTGGACTGTGTAAATGGGAATATAAAGGACTAAAAAATGGTTGCACTTTACGCTGATGTTAAACATCTCAAACATGGCGGCACTTCACGCTGATGTTAAACATCTCAAACATGGCGGCATTTCACACTGATGTTAAACATCTCAAACATGGCGGCACTTCACACTGATGTTAAAGATCTCAAACATGGCGGCATTTCACACTGATGTTAAACATCTCAGACATGGCGGCACTTCACGCTGATGTTAAGCATCTCAAACATGGCGGCATTTCACACTGATGTTAAACATCTCAAACATGGCGGCATTTCACACTGATGTTAAACATCTCAGACATGGCGGCACTTCACGCTGATGTTAAGCATCTCAAACATGGCGGCATTTCACACTGATGTTAAACATCTCAAACATGGCGGCATTTCACACTGATGTTAAACATCTCAAACATGGCGGCATTTCACGCTGATGTTAAACATCTCAAACATGGCGGCATTTCACACTGATGTTAAAGATCTCAAACATGGCGGCATTTCACACTGATGTTAAACATCTCACAAGTTGGACCCCATTCCGAAGCCGACTCGAAGCCAGGAGCTGTACCCATTCGTCACCACTCGCCCCTTTCCGTAACCTGCTATTCGGCTTGTCCCGGAATAGCACGAGTTGGTCACGAATGGAGCTGTTACTTCTGTGTGAATGGCGGAATTGTTATGAAAGGGACTGACTCAGTCCTTTGAAGTTCGTGTTCGAAGAGAGCACAGCGTGATGTTCGTGTTATCCGTAGTAGACATGATTAATCAAAGAGTCAACAGTGTCGATTTGACAGCAAGTGAAAACTTTCCATGAACAGTAGACATGGATATAGCACATAGTTCAATGTTTGCTCGTATCACAGTCGAGTTAACCAAATGGGATAAATATCACAGGGGAAATCTGGAACGCAGCATGCAAGACGTCAAATCTCATCACAATCAGATCCTAGTTCTCGCAACCGCTAAACAAAGATCTGAGGACATCCCATTACGGGTCACGTCAGACCGACCCATCGCGAACTTTGATCGACCAAAGGAATGACCAACAAGAAGTCGACAATAGCCAATCAGAAGGCAGCTTAATCGAGCTTTACGGCACGAGTTTCAAACTGGCGACTAACGCTATATTTTGGAATATACTCGATTAAAAAAATAAAATGAACAAAAGAACATTCTGGAATTGCTAATAAATGGTCTAGATTGTATGCATACAGACATACTGTCGTTCGGAATACCCTGGTTTTCTTTTCGAGGTTGCCCGACCAACAATCACATTCCAACTGTCACTTTCATTATCTGATAAGCGATGCTCTGATTGGTCAGATGAAAGGTCGTCCGACCTGAACCGTAATGGGATGTCCTCAGATCATTGTTTAGGTAGCGAGAACTACGATCTGATTTCAATGAGTTTGGTAAGCCATCATTCCGAGATAGAGGTTGTGATTCAGATCAGAATCAGAGATAACCCGTCCGCTTACAAAATCTAACCTTGTCACTAAGATTGATAACATCAGTTGTCTTAATGCTATATGGTAACCACTCCACACGTTGATGTCACATTTATAATGTGTATAAGCTTGCTTTAACACTGTCTGGTATAGTAGTTCAGTTATATCACAGCGTAATGTTGTCGAATCCTGGCACGAAAAAGGGACGCAACTCTATATACTGAGTTCCGACTACACTGGTTAACTTTCTTCCTACTCACACTGTTGTCAGCAGGACGTCAGATGTGTTCCAGTGACTACAGTTGTGTACATTCCATCCCATCCCTACTCACTCTGTTGTCAGCAGGAAGTCACATGTGTTCCAGTGCCTGCAGTTGTGGACATCCCATCCCATCCCTACTCACAGTGTTGTCAGCAGGACGTCAGATGTGTTCCAGTGACTACAGTTGTGTACATCCCATCCCATCCCTACTCACTCTGTTGTCAGCAGGAAGTCACATGTGTTCCAGTGCCTGCAGTTGTGTACATCCCATTCCATCCCTACTCTCACTGTTGTCAGCAGGACGTCAGATGTGTTCCAGTGACTACAGTTGTGTACATTCCATCCCATCCCTACTCACTCTGTTGTCAGCAGGAAGTCACATGTGTTCCAGTGCCTGCAGTTGTGGACATCCCATCCCATCCCTACTCACAGTGTTGTCAGCAGGACGTCAGATGTGTTCCAGTGACTACAGTTGTGTACATCCCATCCCATCCCTACTCACTCTGTTGTCAGCAGGAAGTCACATGTGTTCCAGTGCCTGCAGTTGTGTACATCCCATTCCATCCCTACTCTCACTGTTGTCAGCAGGACGTCAGATGTGTTCCAGTGACTGCAGTTGTGTACATCCCATCCCATCCCTACTCACACTGTTGTCAGCAGGAAGTCACATATGTTCCAGTGACTGCAGTTGTGTACATCCCATTCCATCCCTACTCACACTGTTGTCAGCAGGAAGCCACATGTGTTCCAGTGACTGCAGTTGTGTACATCCCATCCCATCCCTACTCACACTGTTGTCAGCAGGTCGTCAAATGTGTTCCAGTGCCTGCAGCTGTGTACATCCCATCCCATCCCTACTCACACTGTTGTCAGCAGGAAGTCACATATGTTCCAGTGACTGCAGTTGTGTACATCCCATTCCATCCCTACTCACACTGTTGTCAGCAGGAAGCCACATGTGTTCCAGTGACTGCAGTTGTGTACATCCCATCCCATCCCTACTCACACTGTTGTCAGCAGGTCGTCAAATGTGTTCCAGTGCCTGCAGCTGTGTACATCCCATCCCATCCCTACTCACACTGTTGTCAGCAGGAAGTCACATATGTTCCAGTGACTGCAGTTGTGTACATCCCATTCCATCCCTACTCACACTGTTGTCAGCAGGAAGCCACATGTGTTCCAGTGACTGCAGTTGTGTACATCCCATCCCATCCCTACTCACACTGTTGTCAGCAGGTCGTCAAATGTGTTCCAGTGCCTGCAGCTGTGTACATCCCATTCAGTTCATCTGGTATTACATTTAACTCCACGAGTATCAAATTGTCAAGACCCTCTTTAAGTACATCCCTTTGTGCGATGTCCTCTGTGTGATCGGAATGATGCCCTGCAGCCTCAGCATTAGTGTCATCACTCTCTAACCTTGGGGTCATAGCTGCATCACTCCGAGGGGATGTGTCAAGATGAAGCTGATCACTGTCAAGGTATCCATGGAATGTCAGAAAGGAATATGCACTCTCCGCCATTAGTCCCTGGTTGTGACAAGTACCGGGCCTCCCCTGAAGGTTCCCGTTCAGAGTCTCTGGGGAAATACGTAAGTCGTTTGGAGTTTGAAACGTCCACGCCAACTCTTGACTGACGCCTTTGTGGAAGTGTCTGTCAGCTGTGGGACACGACGTAACGTCGAGCATTGCACTGTCCGGTGCCTGACCCCCGGGGAACTGGAGGACGTTGGTGGAGCTGGCTGTCACGTGGCCTTGTAACGGTTCCCCGTTGTGATGCTGGGTATCGGACCAGGTGGTCGTCTCACCCTCGTGGACCATGATCAATGTTTGCCCGTTCTTGTAATGGCGTTCCTTGTCTGAAACAATCCTCGAGTGACCTTGATGAATTTCAAAGGTTTGTCCTTGACCTTCAATGATTTGCGCAGCCATGTTGGAAGTCATCGCTTCGTGTTCTTGGCGTATTTCCTGATTTTGTTCTCTATTGTCAAGTTGATGAGTCTCGAGTGGATGTAAGTTCCCCAACTGACGCTGACAGTTAAATACAGATAGCGCGTGACAAAGGTCAGGCGAATAGTCCGCGTTGGGGTCAGACACGTGGCTGATGAGACAAGAACCGGATTTCAGGTGGTTATTAAGGAAAATCTGCATGTTATTCAGTTGCTGCTGAAGGCGTCTTATCTCCGTATCCAAGCCTGTCTTCAACCGCACTTCCTCATCGTATACCTGAATTAATGCAAAATGTATCAAGAAAATAAAACGCAGTATCGCACACCAAAGGCTATACAGTGTCACACACCAAAGGCTATAAAGTTACACACCAAAGGCTATACAGTTACACACCAAAGGCTATACAGTCACACACCAAAGGCTATACAGTCACACACCAAAGGCTATACAGTTGAACACCAAAGGTTACACAGTAACACACCTAAGGCTATACAGTCACACACCTGAGGCTATACAGTGTCACACACCAAAGGCTATACAGTCACACACCTAAGGCTATACAGTCACACACAAAAGGCTATACAGTGTCACAAACCTAAGGCTTTACAGATAGTCACCAAAGGCTATACAGTTACACACACCTAAGGCTATACAGATACTCACCAAAGGCTATACAGTTGAACACCAAAGGTTACACAGTCACACACCTAAGGCTATACAGTCACACACCTAAGACTATACAGTGTCACACACCAAAGGCTATACAGTCACTCACCAAAGGCTATACAGTCATACGCCAAAGGCTATACAGTCACACACCAAAGGCTATTGAGATACTCACCAAAGGCTATACAGTCACACACCAAAGGCTATACAGTTACACACCAAAGGATATACAGTCACACACCAAAGGCTATACAGTTACACACTTAAGGCTATACATTGACACACCAAAGGCTATACAGTTACACACCAAAGGATATACACTGTCACACACCAAAGGCTATACAGTCACACACCAAAGGCTATACAGTCACACACCAAAGGCTATACAGTCACACACCAAAGGCTATACAGTCACACACCAAAGGCTATACAGTTACACACCAAAGGCTATACAGTCACAAACCTAAGGCTATACAGTCACACACAAAAGGCTATACAGTGTCACAAACCTAAGGCTTTACAGATAGTCACCAGAGGCTATACAGTTACACACACCTAAGGCTATACAGATACTCACCAAAGGCTATACAGTTGAACACCAAAGGTTACACAGTCACACACCTAAGGCTATACAGTCACACACCTAAGGCTATACAGTGTCACACACCAAAGGCTATACAGTCACTCACCAAAGGCTATACAGTCATACGCCAAAGGCTATACAGTCACACACCAAAGGCTATTGAGATACACACCAAGGGCTATACAGTTACACACCAAAGGCTATACAATTACACACCAAGGGCTATAGAGTTACACACCAAGGGCTATACAGTCACACACCAAGGCTTATACAGTTACACACCAAGGGCTATACAGTTACACACCAAGGGATATACAGTCACACACCAAGGGCTATACAGTTACACACCAAGGGCTATACAGTTACACGCCAAGGGCTATACAGTTACACACCAAGGGCTATACAGTCACACGCCAAAGCCTATACAGTTACACACCAAGGGCTATACAGTTACACAGCTAAGGCTATAAAAATACACACCAAGGGCTATACAGTTACACACGAAAGGCTATACAGTTACGCACCAAGGGCTATACAGTTACACACCAAGAGCTATACAGTTACACTACAAGGGCTATACAGTTACACACAAAAGGCTATACAGTTACACACCAAGGGCTATACAGTTGCACACCAAGGGCTATACAGTTACACACCAAAGGCTATACAGTTACACACCAAGGGCTATACAGTCACACACCAAAGGCTATACAGTTACACATCAAAGGCTATACAGTTACACACCAAAGGCTATACAGTCACACACCAATGGCTATACAGTTACACACCAAGGGCTATACAGTTACACACCAAGGGCTATACAGTTACACACCAAGGGCTATACAGTCACACACCAAGGGTTATACGGTTACACACCAAGGGCTATACAGTTACACACCAAGGGCTATACAGTTACACACCAAAGGCTATACAGTCACACACCAAGGGTTATACAGTTACATACCAAGGGCTATACAGTTACACACTTAAGGCTATACAGTCACACATTAAATGCGATATGGTAGCGCACATGAAAGGCTATACAGTTACACACCAAAGGCTATACAGTTACACACCAAGGGCTATACAGTTACACACCAAAGGCTATACAGTCACACGCCAAAGGCTTTACAGTCACACGTCAAAGGCTATACAGTTACACACCAAAGGCTATACAGTCACACGCCAAAGGCTATACAGTTACACGCCACAGGCTATTACAGTCACACGCCAAAGGCTATACAGTTACACACCAAGGGCTATACAGTTACACACCAAAGGCTATACAGTCACACGCCAAAGGCTATATAGTAGCACACACCAAAGGCTATATAATATCGAACACCAAAGGATATACTGTTATCGCACACCTGAGACTACACTATTGAAGACCAAAAGTATCTTTCGTGTACAGACACAAACAAAACATGAGAGCAACATGATTCATAGCAAACCACGGTCCTCATATTGATGCAGCAGCTTAAACGTTATGGAACGCGCGGAACAACATCGCAGTATGAGATATAAAGAGGGAAACAATTCTTATCACCATAGTTTCAGTGACACTTTATATATCACCCTGGTGTTCGGGATTGTGTTGAACACAACAACGGGAGTTGGCCCACGTACATTCTCTATGGCGGTCCTCTGTGCTCTCTTCTTCTCACGACATCGCCTGGCCGCCTCCTTGTTCTGTTGCCTCCGACGTTCCAGTCTCATCTTCTCGTCGTCGCGTAACTGAAACACAGCAGCATCAGCAGCAGAATCAACATCAGCGTCAACATCATCAGCAGCAGCAGCATCAACATCAGCCTCAACATCAACATCAGCAGCAGCAGCAGCATCAACATCAACATCAGCATCAACATCAACATCAGCAGCAGCGTCAACATCAGCGTCAACATCAGCCTCAGCATCAGCATCAGCCTCAAGCTCAGCATCAACATCGGCATCAACATCAGCATCAGCTTCAGCAGCATCAACATCAACGTCAACATTAGCATCAACATCAGCGTCAAGATCAGCACAGCTTCAGCAGCAGTGTTTGCTTATACTAGTTTTGTCTTTTGTCGGTTTCATAGAGCTAGACCCCACTCAGACGCAATATACTGACCCAGGGCCGTCCAGTACGTGTTGTACCCTTTCAATACCGAGCGCCAGGCAGAGTAACAACAAGTACCATTTTCAACGTCGCTTCGTATGACGCGGCCATGGGACCGAACCTTCATGATTACCAGGAGGAAGTTGGAATCAGTTACAATCACGTCCAAAATCAGGTTCCGTGTATTATAAACAGGATAAGTCCACGCCTAACCATACCGATTATATATAACTATATAACGTGATTCTATATAACTATAGAGCAGGTATCGTTTCCTCTTTCATGCGCTACATGATGTTCATCAACGTATTAACAGGAGAATCAAAAGCCCGGGTATTCTACGCTATGAACAAACAATTTGACCACGTAACCACTTCCAGGGGGCGGTCGGGGTAGCCTAATGGTTAAAGCGTTCGCTCGTCACGCCGAAGACCCGGGTTCGATTCCCTACATGGGTACAATGTGTGAAGCCCATTTCTGGTGTCCCCCGCCGTGATTTGTGGTGTCCCCTGATATTGCTGGAATATTGCTAAAAGCGGCGTAAAACGTCACTCACTCACTCACTCACTCACTCACTCACTCACTCACTCACTCACTATCTATCTTCTATAACAATAATTTGATGAAGCTGAGTTGAAGTGTTTGTCCAGTCAGTGAGGAAATGGCCGCGTTTGAACGGGGCAAACAAGCTACTGACAGTGTAAGACACGACCCACACCATGGGAGAAGTCAGTTCACAAGCAAGTCACCGAGTCATGCTCTGTAGTCGGTGCTTATTCTTCCCTGGAAGTGGGGTGGAGAGGAGTTGGGATGTTTCGATATAACACGAACAGAACAAGTACAGAGCTTGGATGTGGTTCTCGACCAACCACTTGCCCTGGACAGCCAGCAAATTATCACCTCGGAAATATCGGAAAGCTAAGACCTTCTCTCACAAGGGGGGCACAGGTGGCCCAGTCGTCTAAGGCGCCGCGATTCGCTGTGCAGAGTTGCGTCCCTTGGGCATGCCAGAAACCTATGATTGTGGGTTCGAATCCCGGTTCGCCCCGGTTATGTTTCTAGGTTTGTCAGCACCATATCCGTGCTCGTGGGTTTCACCGAAGTGGTAAACGTCTGAGATCTGCATCACTTCGGGCTTTCCTCCCACATTAATCTCACGCTGCGATATAACTGGAACACTGTTCAAAGCGGCGTTAAACCCAACTCACTCACTCATTCTCTCACAAGACCTGTAAAACTAGTTCTGTCTTCAGCAAGGTCCAGGATGTATTATTGGAACAGCCTCCTTGCGAATGTCTCCAATGTCTCCAAACATCAGAAGCTACAGAATTCGGCAGCAAGAACCGTTGGCAGAACAGGTAAAATCAATCACATCACTCCCATTCTGAGAGAACGCCATTGGCTCCCTGTTGCCGCTCGCATTGAATACAAAATCAGTCGGAATCCATACACATGTTACAACATTGCCCCAAAATATTTCACTGAGTTCTTACCACTCTATTTCCCCAGAGAACGCTCCGATCTCAAGAACAAAAGCTATTATTATTATTATCATTATGTACAGATTAAAATTTAAAAAATGCAGCAAAGAGGGTTTGGGTGATCCTGGCACAGTCAGACTGGTAAGGCTCATCATCAGCTCAGGGCCCTTGCCCCCTCTACACGCAGCCCAGACAACCAATCAGACTCCCAGGAAGCGCTTCCTAGTCACACCCACCCAGAACTTTTCGGAGAATGTGAAGACTCCCAACACTGCAGCCTTCTGCATTACCCAGATTGTCAGAAGGGCTGTATTCCTGGTAGCAAACGAGGGTACTTTCCCAATGTCAGTCAACAGATTGGGAGGTACCAAACCTAAGACACCGAGAACAATGGGGAGTCGGACAACTTGGTACTTGGGATGCAAGGGTGACCTTTCGAAAGCGAGGTCCGCATATTTGACATGTTTTTCCTCAATCTTGTCAATCACATTAGTGTCAAAAGGGACAGAAATTTCAATGATATAAATGATTTCATTGGATTTATCCAAAAGGCCAAGATCAGGTTTGTTGGCCTGGATACGTCTGAGGCTGTATACGGGCCTATTCCAAAGGATTTTGTATTCATCATTGTCCATGACTCCCTCTACATATTCCGGGTCGTACCAAGGATGGACCTCTGTGTCAAAACCACAAGCATGGCGAAGGCGGTAATAAAATAATCGAACCACGTTGTAATTGTTTATTGTGTAACGCCGCACCCAGCATGTTGCTAAAGATACTGTGTCTTTGCCAAATCTGGGCATCCACTGACAATGTGTTGGACGGTCTCATTAAATTCATCACATAATCTACATTTCATATTCACATTTTGATGCAAAATCACACATTGGCGGTTTCTCCCTCTGTCAATGGATCAGTGTATCAGTGTACGAGAGGGTATCCTGCTTATGTGCCCGCCTAGTGTCGTGTCTAACGGATTCTTATACACCCACCTCGGGTCTAACGGGTTTTAATACACCCACCTCGGGTCTAACGGGTTTTAATACACCCACCTCGTGTCTAACGGGTTCTAATGTCCCCACCTCGAGTCTAACGGGTTCTAATGTACCCACCTCGAGTCTAACAGGTTCTAATGTACCCACCTCGTGTCTAACGGGTTCTAATGTCCCCACCTCGAGTCTAACGGGTTATAATGTACCCACCTCGAGTCTAACGGGTTCTAATGCACCCACCTCGTGCCTAACGGGTTCTAATGTACCCACCTCGTGTCTAATTGGTTCTAATGCACACACCTCGTGTCTAACGGGTTCTGATGTACCAACCTCGTGTCTAACGGGTTCTTATGTACCCACCTCGAGTCTAACAGGTTCTAATGTACCCACCTCGTGTCTAACGGGTTCTAATGTACCCACCTCGAGTCTAACGGGTTCTAATGTACCCACCTCGAGTCTAACAGGTTCTAATGTACCCACCTCGTGTCTAACGGGTTCTAATGCACCCACCTCGTGTCTCACGGGTTCAGCAAACAGTGCCTGATATTCGGGTAAGCCGTGTGAGTGTCTGTCACTGAGTATCTTCAGGCGGAGACACTCCTTGATGACTGGCGTCATGGTCTGCTGGGAGAGTCCGTCTACTTCCGCCTTACGTAGTCGAGCCTTCTCCCTCTCCTCGGTATCGACAAACGTCGCCATGTCAGGGGGCTAGCTGTAACATGGGGAAGGCATTTGAGACATCATGTGTGGTTTTATGTGGAGAAATATACACAATTTAGTAGTGGTGGCGCCGAAAGGTGTATGTATTTTTATTTTTTTATTTTTGTTGTTTGACGCCGCATTCTGCAATATCCCAGCTCTATGACAGCGGTTTGTAAATACTCGAGTCTAGACGAGGTAATCCAGTGATTGACATAATGAGCATCGATCTACGCAATAGGGATACGATGACATGCATCAGCCAAGTCAGCGAGCCTGACCACCCGGTCCTGTTACTCGCCTCCTATGACAAGCATAGTCACCTCTTGCGGCAAGCATGGGTTGCTGAAGACCTATTCTACCCCAGATCTTCACGGGTCGAAAGATGTATGTAGCTAATATTAATAATATTAATGATCACACAACTAGCAGGTGAGATTGCTTCTTCGCACTCCCCGCGTGAGTGGACAGAGGAACGAGTGTCAAGCAGAATTAGACCTGGTCATCTGTGAAATACCCAGGAGAAGTCTTAATTGTTTATCAATAAATGAAAGTCTTCACAAGCTTCATCCATGTTTATTCAGCTTTATTCGTTTATTTGGTTTTTTGTGTGTGTGTTTAACGCCGCAATATTAACCAGAGTTTGGACCAGACAAGCCAGTGATTGACATCATGCGCATCGATCTACCCAACTGGGATACCATGACATGCATCATCCTAAACCCAATACATAGCTACAATAGTATTTAAAAGATAATCCTGATTAATTCTTAAATATTAATAAACTGCATATCAAAATAGTTTTGACCAGTTAATATTGGAATGTTGTATAAAAGAAATATTTTCTCACGTGTCACCAGTTAGTGTTTTGTAAGTCTACTTGTCACCGGGCAAAAATGTTTTTAGCTTCTCCAGTTAGAATATATATCTAGACATTAAAATAACAAAATATGTGTTCATGTGTAAATGTATGTTTGACACCGGGTGTCTTTAAATAACTGAAAATAGATATTCACGGATTCGCTGTAAAGACAGTACTGTAGTCCCTTTAAAACGAATATGAAAATAACCCATGAAATGTGTTGTTATACGAGTTGTTTAATTAATAATCATATTGTCGTGGTATGAACAATATACGATATTGGGCCTATTTTATTATTGTCTCTAAATTCAATAATAAATACGGTATTGCAGAGTAGGTCCTTCCAATCAAGACACAACTCTACCACAAAACACAGAATGAATAGAGTAAAGAAAATGTCTTCAGTAATCATTTTCAAATGTTATTGAGTTCCTGGTAGATTCATCAACATCTCCTGCCCATGTCAGAGGAAGGAAACAGGTGACGACAAATCGAGACGACTTCACATTAAAATAACTTCACAAAAATCTACGACAGCGTGAACTTTGGCGGCTTAGGCCATTGCTTTAAAGTTCCTAGTAGATTCGTCAGCAACTCAAATGTCGAATGAAGGAGACAGAGACAGGAAATGGAGACGACTACACATTTAAATAATTAACCATTCGAACCATTCGACACCGTGGTTCATTGCTCATGATACTGATCACTGGATTGTCTGGTTCAGGCTCGATGGTTTACATGCCGACGTCGCATGGCAGGAGGGTTGCTGGGTGCGGCGTTAGATGATAAACATTTACTATCTCGTGAAAAACTGTGGGAATGGCGGGTACTGCCGGTCGGGCAGGACAAGCTTGCCCTTTTCGCGAACACTAGGTGTCATCACTGCTTTTTAGTGATCCATTTTTATATATTTAAGCAATATTTTGCATTTTATGCCCAAAGGAATCTGTTTCGGCAGATAATCGTGAGTGATAATCCTCTGATTTTTGGTTTTGAATTTCCAAACAATTGTCAGTGAGTTGACACTACATGCACACAGATAGATACAGTAAACTACGGTTATAATGAACACGCTTATAACGAACTGACGGATATAACGAACTTACTTTTTTGGTCCCGACTATTTGCTGTAGTTATGATGTATATATGCTTATAACGAACTACAGTTATAACGAACAAAAATTAGTAGTCCCTTTGAGTTCGTTATAACCGTAGTTTACTGTAAGTCGGTTTACATACATACAAGGAGTAAACCGACACACGAAGAGTTTATTACACTGGTAAGAAGAGAAACTCATACCAGTGTTTTTTTCGTTTGCAGGTTTCAGTATCGCTCAGCGTATGTATTACAATCTAATGTAAACTACAAAAATATATTTAATCTTACAACGAGCACATGAAACAATTCCTAATTAATGTACATATGTTATGTTCGGGGCCGCCTCCGTGGTAGAGCGTCCGCCCGGAGAGAGGAAGGCCCGTGGTTCGATCCCCGGCCGCCTCATACCAAAAGACGTTATAAGGTGGTACTTGTTGTTACCCTGTCTGGCGCTCGGCATTAAGGGGCTAAAACAAGGTCTGGTCGGCTGGGAGTCAGTATAGTCATGTCCAACTATTTGTGCCATGTCTCACTTGGCGCTTCATGCGCACATATGTGCAACCTGCAGTGCAAACAAGGACATGTTAACTCGTCTTGTCATAAGTCAGGCTTCTACCCTCTGGTTATTTTAATGCTCTACAATATAGACAACAGTGTTAACTAAATGAGTTTGTCAATATCCCGGCTTGGTCCGGTTCATCATGTTGATGGTCCGGTTTTTATGAGCGGAAGCGGAAGCCCTTCCGGTTATGTGAAGGAGGGGGGCAATGGCGGGAATAAAAGCCATCCAGACCAAACACGAGCGTTAGAGAGATTTATTCAATACTGTAAAAGGTTTTACAGTGTCTCAAGAGTAAAGATTGACAAACAGCACACGTGGATTGGCTTAGAACCAAGAGCCCATGGCCAGCCCCCTGCAGTGTGCATCACGGGAGCTTGTTCTTGAAAACACTCTTGCTATATTATTGATAACACCGAGGTGCATTACTCAGCTAAATACGCCTACTCATATTGTTGTTTATTATTAGATATCATAAGCTGCAATATTTTTCTATTAACGGCTTCCTCTTACTGTCGTAGTTTTGTTAATAATTGCCTCACTGACATGTTCAGATGTCGCAGCGCTCGCTAAATTGTTTACAATTTTTTTTCTGAATTCTGTGCGTAAAATTGCGGCATAGGTTAGCACTATTAATCGGCATCAGTCTCGACTAGTACAAGTAGCCACACACACACAGGCATGTGCGTCGCTATATAAGTGCAATAATCTTGGACGTCACGCTAAACCCCATTTCACTTCACCTCACCTCAATTCGGGGTCTTTTTTATATGATAGCTACGCGATAAATCGCAAAGAACAATGAAGAACGAAGTGTGCTTTAACTTACGATAAAACATTGTTCTATCATGACGTCATTTCTGCTGTTTCGAATATGCTCTCCAAACTTAATGACGTCGTATATTGGACGACGTTATTTTTTAGAGGGAAGTGTCTGGTGAGTTGTTCCCCGTGGATGTAGCTGGGCAACGCAGATGAACGCGATGGCCGAACGATTGCATCCAAAGGTGGGAGAGATATGACAATCGGTATTGGGAGATAAGATACAGGATTGTGTGAATATGCGGGAAATACCCACCTGTGCTTAAAATGGACTTGTCCGACATTGCCGAGGTCGGATTCTATTGAGGGAGTCATCATTATTAAAATACGGGTAAATACTTTTAAAGCTTGCACATTTTAGTAACATCCTTAAAGAGGCTGTACATAATGCTGATATAAGAAGTATGCGCCCCTCATGGTATATTCTCCCTACAGAGTTTTATTGTACGATATAGAACTACCCACTCGTCGTATATTTCTTAAGTATAAACGGCGGCTGCAGGTTAAGAATGGCGGGGGTTCGCCCACACAGGAATGCCATTGCCACCCTAGAGCTCTACTGTTTATATAAAGGGGTACTTTGGTCCATCCCACGCAACAGGATCGAAAAGACCCATGTTTAACTGCGCCAACCCATGACTGTTGTATAAGGCAACTAACGGGATCGGGTGGTCGGAAGCCTGCCAAAAGAGGGCGGTCTATACACAACCGAGCCAGAACCAGACAATCCAGTGATCAGTATCATGAGCAGTGATCTACTCCGTCAGGAGTCACGCTGTCGGAGAATAAGTGAAGTTTGTTTTATGTAGAGTCGGCTCCATTTGTCGTCACCTCTGTTTCCCTCCTCCGACATGGGCAAGAGAAGCTGATGAATCTACCAGGAACTCAATAACACTTTAAAATGACTGCTGAAGAAATATTCTTGACCACATTCATTCTGTGTTTTAAGGCAGAGTTGTGTCTTGATTGGAAGGACTTTATATACAATACCATACATAGTATTGAAATTACTCACAGAGACAATGACAGAATATATCGAGTCAATTATATCGTTCATACAACCACCAAATGGTTATAAAGAAAAAGAGACATTTCATGGTTGTTTTGATAATCGGATGGAGGACCTACAATAGGGTGTTGACAGTGTATCACTGACTATCTGTGACCCGGTGTCAAACATACATTTATACATGTTCACATTTTTTGTTCCCTAGATATATATTCTAACTGGTGGAGATAAAAACTAGTTTGTTCTATGACAAGTTAACATACAAGATTTAAACATTAGCTGGCGACAATTTAGACACTATTAGATTCAAGAATTGACCGGTAACAATTTAGACACTATTAGATTAAAAAATTGGCCGGTAACATTTTAAACACTATTAGATTGACAAAATGACCGGTGACAAGTCTAACTATTAGATTCAAGAATTGACCGGTGACAAGTCCAACTATTAGATTCAAGAATTGACCGGTGACAATTCCAACTATTAGATTCAAGAATTGACCGGTGACGAGTCTAACTGTTAGATTCAAGAATTGACCGATGACAAGTCTAACTATTAGATTCAAGAACTGAGCGGTGACAAGTCTTACTATTAGATTCAAGAACTGACCGGTGACAAGTCTAACTATTAGATTCAAGAATTGACCGGTGACAAGTCCAAC